CGGGGCCGCCTCTTCGGTTACTCAAAAAAAGACAGCAGGGTAGCCGTGAGTTGCACTTTTATACCTGTGCTGGTGTGTGCTTGCCTCCCGTTTGTGCCCCTCTTGCGGTGGAAGTCGGGAGGCCCCGTGGATTCATCAGGAGCGGCAGGCACAAATGCCTTCCCCCGTGACATCCCGAGGCTCTCTGTCCTTCAGAGGGCATGGATCATGTCCTTCACAGGACAAAATGGATCACCTCCTGTGTGCTGGTTGTGGCTTGGGACATGTAGTAAAAGCCAGAAGACGAGCACAGTCTGATGGAGTGGACTGGTGTTGAAAGGTAGGGTTGATGCTGCCGCATAGTGACCCTTGGGAAAGGGGTGCAGCTCTCCTTGGGATGGGTCAGCGCAGGGTGGCTGTGGTCTGCAGATTGCCTCGCTCATCCCAAATAGAGCCTTTCCCATGAACTCCATCTTCCAGACATTGCACGCATTTGTGTGTGCTATGCGTGGGAGGGAGGTCCTATAAGTAGCCTTGCTTCATGCGGAAGCAATTCCAGATGACTTGCTTGTAAAGACATTTTTCACAATATACATAGCCCACTCTGTCTTTTTGATTCATTCCCTGTATACATCTTTTCCACATTTTGTGGAAAAGATGTATACAGCCTGAGTGGCAAAACCAGCTCCCTTAATATTATAAGCCAGTTGTCCCCTGTCTGAGATGTTTCTGTGGCTGGCCAGGTAGTATAATTCTCTTAATTGATTTCCATAGTTGCTGCAGACATCTTTCATACCCAGTGAGATTATCATTGTGTTGCTCTTCAGCTGCACTTATCAATGGTGGGATGAGATGCACACGTGGATGGAAGTTTACAGGGGAGGGCAGTTCAGACTAGCATCTCCTGGCATTTAGGGTGGCATTCAGCTTCCCTGACTTGGACATCTGAAGATGGTAGGTTGGATTTAAACACCATCCCCCTAATGATAGGCATCCAAGATGCCTGAGGGGAGACTTCCAGAAGCACCTGCTTCCTTCGGGCCTAAAGGAGGCACAGTCAGGTGACTGGTTCCATTTCAGACACCTACATTTTAGATGTCTAAGGGCACATAAATTCCACTTCTGATGGCAGGAATTGTAAATTATTTGGTAATATTGAAGATAATGCTAGAGCACCTCCTAAATGCTTGTACAATGTGCAGGATATTCTACCTACAGGGGAAGTGTGGAGAAGGCTGAAGAGATGTGAGGGTGTGCATACAGGCTTATGCATATAGATGGTGCACGTAAAGTCATAGAACTAGAATTGTGTTAGTTAACAGAGCCGACCCAAACCTTGCGAGCATTTAGGACTCTTGAAATCAGCATGGGAGATGGAACACCTCAGAGAGGATGTGACCTGGGCAATCAGCTGTGGGAAACCAAGAAAAGAGAGCGCAGAGGTGCTGGCCAGAGAGGGGCCAAATAACAGCAGCCAGGTAGCCCCTCTCTTCATTTGTCTTGAAGTCCAGTGTGCTGGGTTGGGCTAGTGTCAATGCTGTCAGAGTGCTAAAAAGAATTGTGCCATAGGGATTGGCGGAAGCTAGCTGCCTGAGGAACGGAGTGTGTACTAGTATATATAGCTAGGACCTGTTCATCCAACCCATCCATCCTGCTGCGGTTGTCTTTCTAGCTTGCGGAAGTCATCCCTACATGTCCCAGTTGCTTGTTTGCAGCATTCGTAATAGCTGAGATATTGGTGATGGTGATAGGCAAGTTGCTGGGAGACTGTTTCTAATTGGCTTGATCTGTGTGCTGGCAGCCATTTGTATATGACTACTGTGGTGAAGGGTTTCCACATCTTAAACTGCCAGACAAGTGCTTCACGTTGGCAGATTTACTGACATTCATTGGTGAGACTCCCCAGAAGCACCTCAGGCTGTCATTCAGGAGACACCTCTGGTGCCTTAGACCTTTCTAGAAGAAAAAAAATTGAATATGACATCTTTATTTCCTTTCTCCCTGCATTATGGGATCACCATTCCCCTTTCATACCACTGCCCCCCTATTCTCATGTGGATGGCTGTCATTACTGCATATCTCCAGAATGCAGGGAGCAGCATCCTATGAGATCTAGACTAACGGTGCTCTGCAAGTTGCTTGTAGGAAGCACCCGTAGCCCCATATTCCCACTGAAGTCTTATGCACAGTTAAATTGCTTTTTCTTCTTGTTCGCAGTGCGTAAGCAAGAGATCATTAAGATAACAGAGCAGCTGATAGAAGCCATCAACAATGGAGACTTTGAGGCTTATACGTAAGTATGGATGTTTTCTGACAGGCTGTTTATCAGTTTGTGTGCAAGTGATGTTCTGGCTCCTGGGTATGAGGAGTTGTCATGCAGTCAGGGATGGTAAAAAGTTTTATGCTTTTTAGCCTCCATCAATTAGGAGTAGGGATACGGTAGAGCTCTCTAAATGAACATCAAGTAGAAGTCAGTTATCAAACAGTAACAGGAGCAACAAAAGGAAAATGCCCTGGCCTTGTAAGAAAAGTAGCGGGGAGGGCAGTGTGATGGGCAGAAAGAGAATAAAAGAAGAGCCAGGAACCTACAGGCTTGTTTTATGTGAAACGCCAACTAGCACCAACTCTGTGTTGTTGCAGTAGGACCGAGTCCTCCAGGAACTTAGCCCTTGGAGTAGGGAAATAGTTAGGTTGGCACAGGGTGTGAGTCAAATGCCACACCAGCGTTTCATTGTGTAAATAGCCCTTGGGCTCAAAGGCAGATTGTAAGCCTGTGGTGCTTCTCTTTGCAGAAAAATCTGTGATCCTGGCTTGACCTCATTTGAACCTGAAGCACTGGGGAACCTGGTTGAAGGAATGGATTTCCATAAGTTTTACTTTGAGAACTGTGAGTGGGTAGATTTGGTAACATGAACAGCTTTCTCTCTAATCTTCCTTTATGCCATATTTTGAGGGGGAAAACTGTCGTTGTTTTTACTGGTTATCAGAACCAGGAAGAACTTGATTGTGCATGGGTTATGATGCATTCATAAGAGCCAGCATGCTTTCTCTCAAAAGCCTTTTTCAGCAACAATTTCAATTTGAAACCCCAGATACCTTCATCGTAGGCATACAGTTTGCCTGGTGCAAATATTTTGTAAGCATGGGCTGCAGGAGCTTTAAAAGTTTGAGGTACCGGATTTCCTGCTG